CCACCGCCACCACCGCCTCCACCACCTCCACCACTGCCACCACAACCTCCACCACCACCACATCACCTCCACCGCCACCGCCCCCACACCACTTCCACCACCACCACCGCCACCGCCACCGCCACCACCACCACCACCACTGCCACCACTTGGGATAATAAGCCACTTGGGAAATAGCTTTTCAATAAGCCACTTGGAAAATGCTGATGATAACAGTATTAAATGTCTTGGAATTTAAGCACTTGAAACTTGGTGGGGAGGCAATGATAGAATACTAACACCTCTTAAAGTTTCTTAACTGAGTAGGCAAACTGTGACAATGTATGCTATGATACAAGCAGGAAAAAGAAGCTGATATGAAGGAAAATGCAAAGCTTAAAGTTCAAAAGACTTTATTATTATTATTAGATATTGGAGAAAAATGTAATTTTGCAAAGATAATTAATCAGAATCAAACATAATTAATCAGCTCCTAGAAAATCACTCAGGAGCAGTCATGGGAAGAATCTAAAAAACCAGCAGCGAAGCAGAATGTGAAAAACTCTTTTTCAATTTATTTAAAATAAATACAATAAATAAATACAATAAATACAATTAAAGTGGGCAATTGAAGTGATAAATTTGATAAATTAATGCCTCTGTGGTTTCACACATTCTGATACCGATCGAAAATGATTCATTGAGTGATTTCAGTTGTAAATTGTGTCTAATCACGAAACAACTGAATTTTCTCTTTAACAGCAATGTATACATTATGTTTATTTACAATATAATATTTATCCTGGAAATGATATTGGATTTTGTAAAGTAATCATTAACTTTTAGAGATGTAAACTGTACTATTTACAGATGAATTGACAGGATGCTTCAGATTTGCTTCCAAATTACCCAGTGGAATGCAGAAAAGTGGATCAGCATTTAGATGGCATAGGACTGGCCAGGACCAAATAATCCTTTAAGCAGGGTGATAACCACACGAGGTTCCTTATATTATTTATCATTACTTTTGCATGTTTGAAATTTTCCATAATAAAAAGTTTTTGAAAAATACAATTAGATTCCAAGATAAGTTGAAATTGTGGTGGTATTGAGTGTTATCATTTTGAGAGGACTGGTAAAATTCAGAGATAAAATTCATCTCTCTGGTGGGCTGCACAATAAACCCCTTGAAAAAAAAAACAAAGAAATCAAACTCAGGCAGAAACTAAGGGAATTTCAACCTGCCCACCTTTATCCTGTGCTCACAGTAAGTTCTAAGATGTGGCTTCTCCCAGAAGTCTTAGTTATACAGTAGTGTGTATATATATATACACTGAGTCACATGTTTTCCTAACTCAGCTTAAGTGGTCAGACCAATTTGGGAGAAGCATTGTGTAAGAAGAAACACAGCAATTTTTAAAATACATTATTCAAAAAGAGCTTATTTCCAAGGTTTCCTGTTTTTGTCTGAAGCAATTATATACTTCAGCAGAAGCCTGGGTTCAAGGTTGGTGGGAGTCCTTATTTATCTGCACTTTGAAAAAAAAACGCTCAAAATGAAGTGTGTTTTCAGATGAAAAATTGAACAAAATTGTGCTTTCACATTTAATTTGGAAAACCTGGTAATGTAATAAAAGTTATTTCAGGCTGTATGTCAATTTTATGTCTTTTTAAATAGCCAAAAAGATTGAATTTATCTTCCCATGCCGGGAAATGTCAGTATTCAAACAAGACCTTTCTTTCAATTTAAATGAGGTTTGTTTTTGTTTGTTGTAGTTTGAGTAAAGCAGAAGTTTCAAAAGACGAAACTGTAAAAGATAAAAACCAAAAAATTGGAGAGGGACTGCATCATCAAAGGCTTTAAATGATAAATTTCCATCTATATGTAAACGAACTTTTAGTTGTACACACAAGGGTGCCCAGCCCCTTTCTAGTATACCTTTTCTCTGCAGAAGCCAAGTCAATCTCCTGAAGGAGATTTCCTGCTTTATTCTGTGAATTGGCAGTTATTAATATCCACCCCCACCTGCTGTGGGTAGGTCACGGTCATCTCTGAAGACAGCCTAGAAACAGCCTTAACACAGTGACGATGTCTCACGGGCAGGATCTGGAGCCCATGAAAACTATTCTCACCTTGAGATTTCTATTGGAAGTTGGAATAGATCTGGTCAACTTTGTACAAAATATTAATTCCCTTCCTTATTCCCCTGGAGGACAAGTATACTTCCTGATTCCACTGACTTTGAGCTTGGCCAGGTGTCTTACTTTGGATAACAAAACAGGAGCAGGCATAAGAGCAGAAGGTTTCAATGTGCTGTGTGGCCTGGCTTCTCTCCTAAAGCTCTTTGATCTGTTACAGGAAGAACATGTCGTGGGCTACTGTTGATCAACGACAATGTGGAGATCAGAATCCAATCTGAAGCCTGAAGAAAGCCTGAAGCAGAGCTGCTCCAAATGACCCATAAACCTGTGAGCGAAAAACTATAAAGGCTTGTTGCAAGCCTCTGAATTTAGCAGTGGTGCTATGGTTTAAATATTTTTTGTTCTCTCTAAGGATTTATGTGTTGGAAGCCCAACCTCAACACCATCATGTTGTGAGGTGGGGCCCTTGGGGAGCTGTTTAGGTCAGAGAGCTCCACCCTCATGAATGGATTAATTCCACCATGAAAAGGGCTTGTGGGAATGGGCTGCCTCTCTCTTCTGCTCTTCAGCCCTGTGAGAACATAGCAAGGGATCATCTTAAAACCAGAGACCAAACCTGCAGGCGCCTTGATCTTGGATATCCCAGCCTTCAGAACTGTGAAAAAGAAATTTTTGTTTTTTATAAATTACCCAGTCTCCAGTAATTGGCAGCACAGAACAGACTAAAACAGGTGGTTTGTTATGCAGCGTTCCTCCCATAATAGCTGACTAACAGAAAACATCTGCGCACACAGGAACGGAAACATGAGGGCAGATGCATTTCTTAGAAAGAATGCATAAAGCCATGACTCAACCTGTTTATGGCTTGTGGCTTATGGACTGTGGTGGAGTAAATGTGTTCTCCCCACCAAATTCATCTGTTGAAATCCTAGCTCCCTAGATGATGGGATGAGGTGGTGGGGTCTTCAAGAGGGAATTAGGTCATGAGAGAGGAACTCTCCTGGATGGGATTAGTGTCCTTATTAGAGAGAGAGCTCCCTCCATCCCTCCTGCATGTAAGGACCTAACATGATGGCCATAGATGGCCATCTATGAACCAGGATGCAGGCTTTCACCAGACACCAACTCTGCTGGTACCTTGATCTCAGACTCCTTGGCCTCCAGAACTGTAATAAATAAATGTTTGCTGTTTAGACAGCCAAAATGGATGAACACATGGACCTTATTGAAAATCTAAAAAATGTCTTGATCAGATTCTTCCCAAAATAGCTTCCTTGCATGCACCTGCCTCTTTTCAGGTCTCCATACCAACTGAGCCCATCTGATTGGCAGAATCTAAAATACGTCTGGAATTCAACACACAAGGGAGTTTAGGATATGTAGCTTTTTAGCTTTCCAGCCCCTGAAACTCAGGAGGAGGTTATGATCAACTTGAGTGAACCAAACTATTTTTTCTAGCAAACTGCCATGTAAGTAGACAAGGAGGAGGTTAGGGAGGAGAATGAAAAGATGAAGCTGGAGAGAATTAGGAGAAACTGATGTCATATGACAATAAATGATATGAGGAAGAAGCAAATGGTTAATTATTGAAAATAAGTGAGGCAGAGAAACACTATGTAAGAATGTAAAGTACTCCTGAATTGGGCAATAACAATGTCCCTCAACACCAAAACGAGCTATGTCACTGGTAGAAAGATGAGAAGGAAGAGACAATGACTCCTAGAATACTCTTTCCAGAGCTTGGTTGAGAAAGGAAGGGGAAGGATCTGGTTACCATCCATGAGACCTTGTGTGATAGCGAATCACTCCTCAGTAAGGGATTGACTGGCTCTGCTGTGGATGGACTAGAAAAGTTTCAGTCTCTCTCCTTTTTGTCATTAAAAGAAATCCTCTCCTTGCTTTCTAAGCTAATGGGTCTTCTTCTTGGGTCTTGCAAATCATCTTGTGAGTGAACAAAAGTGACTCTCAGATTTTCTTTGCATCTTGTTGTTGTGGAATTATCCTTGCCCACAGCATAGGAACGTTCCCTGAAGCAGCTGTCTCTGTGCTCCGCTTTTCTTCTTGCCTCATGCAGCCTGTATCCCATTATCCCAGGCCAGGCTGTGTCTCTTACTCATCTTATGATACTCACAGTCCTCAACCCCCACAGTTCTCTAAGTCAAACCATACTTGGCTTCATGACTTTGGTAGATCCTGCCAATAATCTTCCAATATCCATCTTCACTTTTTTTTTTTTTTTGTAAAAGAATCCCTGAGTTTTACATTAGTCCACATAGAGACTAATTTCTTGTCTTCTTAAGCAGCTAGATGTGATTGTGTCTGAAACAAAGGGACTCACTTGTGCCTTAGCTGATGGCTGGCTGGAGAAATCTTGGGAGCCATATATTGAATTAAGTATGATGAAGTTGTCCTACTGACCCAGGCCACTTATTCTGGACTGTTAATGGGAGGGAGATAAATTTGGATTTTAGGTAAGCCATAGTGTTGTTTTCTTTTTTACTTGAAGGGGATCAAGATATGCTACCCCAAAATATGCAACATTAACATAAGGTTTATTTTGACCTGAAAACAACTGAAAATCAACAGATATAGGAAGAGCTCTCTACCCCGCTTTTATCTGTCTAGAGGTTGGGCATAAATTTCCCTTTGTTACGGTGTCTCTCTATATCCTGTACCAGAGAGAGGAGAGCAACTTGTATCACCAGAAATGAAGAGTTGGCACTAAGATAAATCTGCATAACAGACTTTAGGAAAAGAATATTTATCTTCCATTAGTTTCCCCAATATATTTCCTAGTTACTTCCCCATGATTTATCATCCTTTGAAGTTCAAACTTTTCTTTGTTACAGTTATATGTAAGCTAGAAGTCTAAGTACTTCTAGTAGTTTCACTTCTTTTCTATGAACTCCTATGCATATAAATATTAGTAAAAATCACACACTTTTTCTCCCATTAATCTATCTTTCGTTAGTTTAATTCACAGGTGCCCAATGAACCTAAGAGGACAGAGGAAAAGTTGTTTCTCCCTGAAAGACTATACAATGAATAATACAATGGTCACAAGGCACATTGCTCTCCTTGATAACAATGGTTGTGTGGTCCAGCTGCCACACAACAGCCAAGGCTGGTTTCACAATGTAATTTCAGGTACAACTTCCATAACTTGTTCTCTGCCTATTAAAAGTCTCCTCTGACTAGAACATCAAAGATGTTTCTCTTCTCTATCTCATAACATTGGGAGAATCTGGGGCAAGAATGAGCAGCACCTTGAAGGATGCTCCTGGAAACTTTGTCTTCTTGGAAACAATATACATATTTCCCATGATCTTCTGGCCTTGGAGTCAGCTAGCTTGCTACAAATTCAAGCTCTACCACTTAACAGCAAGGCTACTGAACTTTTCTGTGTCTCAGTTATAAAATGGGGTAATAATTCTGCTTGTCTACAAAAGTTACTATGACAATAGTTTTAAGTGAAATTATTATGCAAGTTTACATTATTACAATGACACAGCTAAATTATCCTGCTTTTGCAAATTTTAGGACAAAACATGACCATGTAAACCAATCCTTGAGCCTCTCCCTGGACCTTGGAAAAGTCTGTGTCATTAGCTTCATAGTAAATCCACTCTGACTACCTCACAGGGCAATTAGAGGATCACACAACATATAGACAGGGCCACTGGAACAAAGGTCACTTTGTGCTTATTACACAAGTGTGACCCCTCCAGATGGACACAGGGCTCAGGGCTTGGACAGCAGAGCAAGGGCTAGATTTTAGCCCTCTCTATTTTTCTTGGTTAGGGGCCTTTGGCATTGGAAAAACTGGAGGTTGCTGATACAGCTGGGAGTTGGTGCACTCCACCAAGGTACTTGGCCAACAGGGTGGAGGTGCGCAGGGACCACATTCAAGTCCCCCTTTTCTTGCCATGTCGTGTGTCTCAACATGCAGCTGCATATAACCTAAGAAAAGGGCATGTCTGGCTTCACATGAAGTCTCTGTCTTTCTGCTAAACCCTGTGCCTACTTTTTGCTAATGTGTGCAGAGGTGCCTTAGAACCGGTGGGTGGGCCAGTGCATTACACCAGTGTAGGCAGCAACCCTGATCCCTGGCACACAATAAGCACTTTACAAACGTCAATGTTCCTTTGTTTCCTATCCCACCCCTCATTCTTTCCTATCTATGTAATGCTTTCCTTACTTGCTCAACAACCTTGTATAACTCAAGGTCAGTAAAAAAGTTAAGTTTGCATATTTTGAAGCAATTAGAGACCTAAGTTGCTGCAGGGAATTGCCTGACCTGTGTGTCCCAGTGCTTCCAGGGGATTCCACATAAGACAACATCTTTGGGGATGTTGCCAGATTCCTTGACTATATGCATTGGTGCACCATGACAAAGATGCTTAGCTTGGCCAAACTTTAGTCAGAGTCCTGAGCCCTCTCCTAAGCCCACAGGTGTATTTCCTTATAAAATCCAGTTTTAGCAAGAACCCTGTCAAGTCAGTTTAGCAAGACCACCCCCCACCCACCCTCAATATCTGAGCAGGTTCACCATCTCCCAGGTTATTATCCTGGCCTACATCAGCAAGAGTCTTGTGAGGTTGCCTTAGACAGAATTCCCCTTACTCCTTACGTTTTCTCTTAGTAATTTTCCATCCACTGACCACCACCCTGCTTCTCCACTATAAACTTGTTTTTTTTTTTTTGTTGGGAGATGGAGTTTCACTCTTGTT